CTGAACCAGGAAGTTTGTCTCTGGTTTCTGCCTATGATTCCTCAAGTTCAGATGATGAACATTAAAATGAGAAAAAAGAGTCTGTCACGGGCAGGTTCATTATACTGTGTGATACTTGCACGTATTTTCCATAAAAATCTTATTCGATTAGAGAAAGCATGGTAAAAAACCAATGTTCCATGATGTTTTTCAGTGTCTTTATGACTGTCAAACAAACTAAAAAAAAATTAAAATACAGTTATTATTATCCTCTCCACTTCTTGGGCTTTTAAGGGATACTGAAAATGTATTCAAATGGGAGGTAACATGGTTAAGAATTCCAACTGGCAGGAGGCAAATCAATTGGCTATTTCACAAGCGTGGCCAAAGATTTGTACTCAGGACTACCAAGAACAAATCCAGCTAGTGATCATGCAGGACTTGAACCTAGGGCCTCTGGAATTCACGTTCAGTGATCTAACAGCACAGCCAAGAAAGAAAACTTCGTAATTGAACCCCTGAAATGTTCCCAGACTCTTTACTGAGTTATGACCTATTAAATTGCAAAAATTTGTCTGGTGTCTGTGGTTTCAAATTATTGATACTTCTCTTATGGAACACTTCTGGTAAAATTGCAGCCAAATAAAAAGGAAAAAATTATTAATTAGACAATAAATAAATGCTGGGTAAATAAATAAGTGTGCAGGAAAAAATACAAAATAATAAGCTTTCATGGAAGGCATTAGGCTGTTCACAGTCCTCTATTTTTCCGTAATCGAGATCGAGCGCTTTGCGTTAGGGGCTACCATCTGGCATGAGTGTCAAAACTACCTAGGGGGCGGGGGCGGTTTGGGAGGAGGCGAGAGAGAGAGAGCTATAATCCCCGACGCCCGCCCCCTCGGTACATTTGAAAATCAAGATACCCATGACAGTAAGACGTGGTATATCTAAACGATCTCACGAAAAAATAGGGGACTGTGAACAGTGTAGGAACGTATTTAAAGGGGGAGGGAAGAGGGTAATTATGGCGTGACAATTCTCAAACTGTTCGGGGGGTGGGTGGGGTCTGTTGGAGGGCGCACTTCCGTGTTGAAGGTACTTTCACCATGATCCTTTTCGTATCGAGATTCAAAATGGCTGACTTGAAAGGGAAATTGTAACGCTAAGTACAAGAGCGAAATATGAAGCGTTCTGTAGATCAACCAGAAGATTTGCATTCAAAAAGAGCTCGACCCGATACCCCTAAAACAAAGAAAACCTTCACTGTAACACCAATCAAAGCCTTTCGTGGAGAACTCCCTTTCTATCGTCAGCCAGTCGAGGTCGGGTGCTTTTCTCTCGACGAGAACAGAGGCTTTCACGATGACAAACGACAACTGAGGATTTTTAGTCCTCCTCACAGTGTAGACTTCGACCTGCGTGCAGGGTATAAAGAGTTCGTTAAAAGAAACGAGGATGAAAAGGAGGGATTGAAACATCTGTTGCAGTGGACTAACCGCCATCGGGAGAAGTTTGAAGTCATTCAGAGTCCTTCTGCAAAACGTTTTCCAAGCGAGACACCCTCTAGCACAAGGTAAGAGGAGTATACTGGGTATCATTTAAGTAAAGATAAGAGATGGAGGCCTTTCACGAAGCCCCCTTCAGTTAAGATATATTCTAAGTATTTTTCCTACATAAAACAGCAACCCCTGGTTATGAACTAATCTTAACTTAGGCAGGCTTTGGGAATGGTGTTTTTTTTTTTAGAAGAGGGAACTAAAAGTTGCATCTGTTGTGACAAGGAAGGGGGATGTGCCAAACAAAGAGAAAGGGTAGATGCTACTCTTTCGTGAGGGTAGCAAAGGGTTTATGCGTGAGTCGTGATTAGGCCCAAATTTAGTGTGTGACGCGTGAAAGTTCCTAAAATAGGAACGTGATACATGAAACTAGTTATGCATCTGAAGCATGATTTATCTTATAAGATGTGCGGGACTCGTGAATTATTTTTGGCATTTTTGGGATTGAACAGGGCCTTTGGTTTCATTTTTTGCATTATGTTTTTGTCTTGGTTAATAAATATTATTATTATTATTATATTATTACTACCAAAAGACCCCGTGTGACCAGTGACCTTTGGGATTAATTCGTCCACTTCGGCAATTCTTGTGTTGCTTTGTTTTTGCGTTAAAGTGAGTGAATTGCCCTAATAAAAGGCCTCGAAGGTAACAGTTGCTGTAGCCTGGTTTTGTTAGGGTGAAGGGAGAAATTCTGAGGACACGCGCACACTCGAGGGGAGGAAAGTAGTAAAACTAAGCAAAAAACTAACCTGCGCCTGCCACGCAGGCTTAAGTCACTAGCGGGTAAACAGAAACCACATCGGGGGCTTCGATTGTTGTCAATTTGAACGCAAGATGTCTGGAAACACGAGTTTCCACATCCATGACTGATCGTTAACGCCCTTTAAGATCAGCCCACCAACACTGTAATGAGAGGAGAAGCGGGTAGAAACTGCAGTAGTCAAATAAAATGCGAATTAGGATCCATGATGGCTGTGTTTCAGTTCTTAGCCCCTTTGATTAACAGGTGAGATTCGTGACTCTGTGAAAATTGGTTTATAATCCATTTGATATGTGAAATTTTTCAAAATTTGTATGTGAAATGGGCCATGATCCCCTTTGCTACCCTCTTTCATAGTTTCCTACTTTTGCAGCCATTGGTGAGGGGTCATAGGTGTTACAATGGTGCAACATAGCTACATGGCTATCCCCCTTGGAAGGCCTTGTGAAAGACCTTTTTTTGTGGCAGGGGAGTGGGGGTTGGTCCAGGAGTAGTTCCTGTTTCTAAATATCATTTTATTCTTCAAAGTGCAAACCTCCAACCACTCAGAAACATTAAACATCGCTCTCTTTCAACAGTCAATAAGCCTCTGCAGTGGTTGACATATTAATGTCAACACAGGTGATGTTTGAACATGAACTGCATGTTTAATGTCTTATCACAGAGGCAATTTCAAGAGTCTACCCAGTAAAATCTCGTTTTGGGTGTAAACCTGTCAGGTTTTTCAACATTGAAATCCTAGCCTGCGAGCAAGCTCTCCTATTTGGGAGAGTGAAGCGAGACTCGCAAGAACGCGTGAGCAAGGGGCCGGCGAAAGGAGAGGTTGCAACCATCCCTTACAAATTTTCATTTGTACCTCGCCCAGATGAAGGGAAATACCATTGGCTCAAAAATGACGTTCCGGAAATCAAAGTTGATTGATAACAGGCTAAGCTGGCACCCGCTTCGTCTGTGTGTCAAATTTGGTTCTCAGGGGGATCAGATTGGTACCGAGAACTTGTTTCAGCCCTCAAAGCAGACGGGCTCATTTGTTGTAATTCTCAAAGAGAATATTGTGAGCCGAGGATAAGTCGGATCGAGTTTGTAGTTCTTGTGGAAGGAAAATGAAAACCCTTCATCACTGAGTTGTATTCGTTTGTGTCAAGCACCTTGTTTAGTTCTGAAAACGGGGAGAGTGAAAGTGAAGAGTGATTCAAGCGCTGTTTTCCAACATAGGTTTCTTCGCCCGGTTGAATTCTACTGGGTAGAAAAATTCAGAAACATGTACTTGACTGTGTAGCGTGACCGTAAAGAAGGAAAAGAGAAAGAGTTGGAAGCAACTGGAGTAAAACTTAAGAGAACCAAGTGCAGGAAAACGCTATTCTCCAGTTCCAGACGGACAAATATATGATGTTTTTGTTGATGATTGCGATGGGGAGTAGTCTTCTACACTGCAGTAGGGATGACTTTTCAAAAGTAAACGAAACGAGAATCAAATTAGTGAGTTCTTATCCGAGCGGACACGTTGAAGTTCGATGTCCCCGTGGAAAAAAAACATTGCTTTGATGCTGTTGCGAAAGTGATTTATAAATAAATAAATAAATAATTCTACGCGTCCTCGGCTGTCTTAACTTACTTGACAGGCGGTTGTCACTTTTCTAATCTGCGGTACGTTTGCGGTGACAGTTTTCACGCTTTGCGGAGTCCCAGGGTTTCCGGGGTGGAAATGAAAATTTATGAGAGATCGTTGCAAGCTCTCCTTTCCTCAGCCCCCTCGCTCGCGCGTTCTCGCGAGGCTCACTTCACTTACCCAAATAGGAGAGCTTGCTCGCAGGCTATTGAAATCCCTGCTAAGAGTTCAAAAGATCAAAACAAACATTGCTTTCATGTATCTTCTTGGTAGAAATATCTCTTAGTGCCAGGAAAGACTTGCTTTTTGCTGACTATTAAATACCTGTTAGAAAGTAGAGAAGTTTGTTGAAACTTACTATAATCTTAAAAGTTGATATAAGTGTTGTTTACTAGCTTACACACTGATTTCATAACATGGCGAGGACATTTGACAAAGATCATGTGCACTCCATATGAGACAAGAGACACCTGGGAGATGGCAGCAACCCTACACAATGGAACCATCTACATTAGTGAGATAGAGACTGAAGAAAACAGAGAGAAGCGTGAAAATATGGAGGAAAAACACAAAGAGATGTGTTACTGGGGTTATAACTTTGAAAGCTACGTTACGTCACCTGTAGACAAGAATCGTCATTGCAAGAATGGGGCGGTAGCAAAGACAGAAGGCTGTGCCAGTAATGACAGCGAGGCTTTTATCACAGTGATCAGAACCAGGCTGGGTAAACACTCTTTAGTGTTTGGTGCTGAGGTGGACTGCTGTGCCAAGGTTTGTTTTTTGTACATTGTCAAAGCTCTAGCAAGTGGCCATCTACGAAATTCGAAAAAGTGGTCATAACTTGAGCTGGTTGCTTACGAGAGCTTTACAGAAACTCATTGATAATTCATAAAGAAAAAACAAGTCAGGCTAAGCAGTTGCTACGGAAATGACCTTGAACTTTCACAAATACAAATACTGGACTGTCAAGATCCTTATCGATGAACTGTTAGTGTAGTATGCAGTTTCATTTAAGTGTTGATTAAGTGGTCACTTATGAAAGCTTTAAAACAAAGGAAAAGTCCAGTTGGATAAACCCAAAAGTGATCACAGTCACTTACAGTGGCAGTTGCTTACAAGAGCAATTTCATTACAAAGTTCAAGTTAAAGTTCAAACAGGGTTTCAGGAAAGTGGTCATAACTACAGCTGGCTGCTAACGCGAGTGGTCGCATGGAGATCTTCGACTGTAGTTTGTACTGAGACATTTAAGAAATTATTAAGGAAACCTTGCTCCTTTCAAAGACAAGGTGATCATGACAGTATACAGTGGCGGATCCAGGGGAAGGACCCAGTCCCCCCCCCCCCTCCCTTTTTTTAGACCAAACTAAGGCCGGAAGGGCCGAAAATTTTTTGGGGGAGACTGGGCCGGCCCTTTCTCTCAGGGTCTGGATGACCGGGGCCCCCCCTTATCTGAAGGCCTCGATGCGCCACTGGTATATGTTGAAAAGTGCCTACAATATTTACTATCGGTTACAGTTTTGTGCTGACCAAGGGCTTTCAATGTCAATTTAGTAAATCAAGGAAAAAACAATCAAAATTATAAGGGATAAAGGACTGCTCAACCACAAGGCACATTTGATGTGGTTGCATCAGATACTACAGGGAATCTTAATTTCTCTATAGATTTTTCTACAAAGACTGTATAAGGGCCTGTTTAAGTTTGTAAATGCATACCAGTATATATGGCTGCTAGTTATCTTTTAACAAACCGACAGTACTTAATGATGCAAGAGACAGTTTATAAAATTATCCATTCACATTCACTTGCAGATCAAGGCCATAAATACACAAGTCTGTATGTATCTACAATCTTAAACAGACTCATGTGAACTTACGTTAACAGTTTTCATTTTTTTATCACAATATACTGTAGGCAGAAGGTGATGCACCAGCAAATTACATAGAGCTTAAAACCTCCATACAGCCTCATCACCACAACCAACACTACAACTTCAAACGCTACAAGTTAATTAAGTGGTGGGCACAATCATACCTTGCTGGAGTGCCAAAGATTATCTGCGGTTTCAGAGATCACCATGGCCAAGTCAGGGAACTTCAAACATACAACACCTTAGCCATCCCTCGATTAGTGAGGGATGATGAGGGCCTGTGGGAATCCTCCATCTGTCTTAACTTTCTGGACAGATTTCTTGAGTGGGTGAAGACAGTAGTTGTAAAAAGTGGTCCTGGTGTTGTCTATTTGTTCTCCTGGAAGAGGCCTTTTGAGGAAGTAACTGTTTCAGAGGTTTCAGATGGGTCTCGCAGTGTACTTCCAGATTGGTATTTGGAGAGTTTTGGGAGTAATGCCTCTCCTTAGCAACACTGCATACTTGTAGCTTAGTTACTTACCTTGGTCACTCATTAACCTTTTGTTCCCCAGTATCCACACACAATGTACAAAATCTCTTGACTATCTCTATACATTTCCGTAAAAAATTAGTTGAGAGAATTTGTTGAAAAATCAAATATTTATAATTTTCTAGCTAGTGATCATTTTATTAATTCTCATAACCATATTTTTGGATTAGGTATTGACATTGTTAGGGGAAAATTGAACTCTATAGGACTTGAAGGGTTAAACGAAACCATGAGCTGGTAAAAATTATATTTGAAGAACTGTGGTTTAGATATGACACACTCTTCAACATGGCCTTAACAAGATTTTTCCCCCACCGCCCGGCCCCTGAACAAAGTTGAGGTCGTTAATGTTTGCAAGATAAGTAAAAGGTGTTTTGACTTGTAACACCCAACACTGTTCAGGGGGAGGGGGTCAACTTGAATTACATTTTCCACACCTAAAACACAAAGTGTCCCAAACGTTTTGACCAGGATTGTAGATGTAACTAGTGCAAGGCAGAGGGAAATGTCTGTGAGTAAACTATTGCTGGTTTTGATTTTGTTTTTAAGTGGATTTTTGATTTTTTTTTTTGCAATCAAAAAGCTTGATAATGGAAACACAAACCATTTGTAACTTTAGTTACTATGGAAACAAGTTGATATTTTGGACTCGTCAGTTAAGCCATATGATATGATATTAATTTGCCTTTGAGTTCTCATATTCCTAGGTATATTTGTATGTGTAATCAAATGGTGACGAGTGAAATTAGGGAATGACATTTCATGTGTGTTTTATCCAAATTCTAATAATTACCATTATGAGTATACCATTTTGATTATTTTTATCATGAGTGACAAATTACGCTCACAATTTTAGCCATTTTGTCAAAAGCAACATTGTAATTTCACAACAACGCTATAAATTGTGCAAAAAATAACTACATATGGTGAACATATGGACGTTTTGTTTACCAACCAAAAATTTCAGTGCTAGCCACTCTATTAATGTGTTTAAACACTAACTTGCACTAAACACTGCTGTTAATGCTTTATGTTTAAAAAAATCACCATGGTACCAGAACATTTCTGTAGTTAAAGGGATGTTTCTTGTAGAAAATAGTATTTGTTTCTTTGGCGCGTGTGGGGAGAGTATGGGAGGGAGGACATCCCTCCCATAGGGGGTCCGGGTGGCCTTCCGCTGGAAAAAATTTTGCAATTTGGAGCTCGTAAAGTGCATTTTGGAAGATGACTGCCATGATGATAGAACTTTTATTAATCCACCTTCTCACATATATTACATTTTGAGAAAAACTTCAGAAATGCGATGCACCCAACATCAAAGTTCAATTTTTTCTGTAATACTTCAAAAATAGTTTAAAGATCTGATAGTGTGTTAAAATGTCTAGAAATCAACGTCAAACTCGAAGTCTGAATCTACATCAGACGACTCATCTAGCATGTCCATCTCAGTAAGTGCCTTGTGAACACTGTTTGCGAAGGCTGATGCCTGAGTTACTAGCTGGGGTTCTTCTTCCATCGATATCACATCCATATTTTCTGCAATAGAATGAAATAAACATCAGTTCTTAACTCAATAACTGGCTATTTTTTGTTTCTTTCTAAGCTATTATCTCTGTGTAATCTTAATTTTAATTGGGATTCTCCGTTGGAATTCTGTGCGTGGGTTCCTAAGTCCGCGGGAAAATTATCTCAGGAACTGAAAGAATGTAAGTTTTAAGGGGTAAATTAAATTTAAGTTTAAATTTTTTGAGTTGTATTTTGTCACTTCTTTACTTGTTTTCAGGGAAAGCCGAGAACGAAAAATGAAAAACGTCATTTTCAAAAACCGCCCTGCAAATTTGTAATGCATTTCGTTGACGAATTTCTAGCAACAAAGCCGGCCAAGAAATGTTCAGGGTTTTTTGTTCGGGTTGTTTCATTCAGTCGTTGCTTTGTTCGTTCGTTTTTTTCGATCGATGGATCGATCGTTCATCTGTTTCTTACAAATTTGCAGAATGTTTTTTTTTTTTTTTTTTTTTTAAGAAATGCGGGTGCATCAAGCCACGCTTTTCAGTCACGTTTTCTGCGACGTTTTCAAACTTAACACCTTGCAAAATTGAAAATGTTCTACAGTCCCACAAAGATCAGATCTTACCGAACGGGTTGATCAAAGAAATGAAAGCACATGAACAAAAGGAACATTTTTTGTATGTTTATTGAATCTAAAATATTCCGTGTCGGTCGGGCTGATCGCGTTGGCGACGTGTTGAAAGTACAAAATTTAATTATGCGTACTTTGGATTCGGATATAAATAGAAATAAAATTTACAAAGGAAAATCAACCTACCTTGTTCTGTGCCTTCTTTGGGCCTTTTATTCCACGCGTTGAAGAGTGTCTGTTGTTTTGCCAGTCGCTTCATTTCGGTTCTCATTTGTTGCAATTACGTTTCTGTTCTCATGAAAAAATTTTTCCGTGCTGCTGTCACGGATCGGTGCACACGTGAAAAATGCCGCGATTACAAGCGGCAAGACGTTGTATCAAACTTCACCTATTTTCAATTTTCATGCCAAAACTTTGATTTTAACTACAGTTTTATTTCAACTTGGAAACGGTAATGCATTTGTTTTTATCACCGCGCTTGAAGTGAAAAGTTTACACAGTGAATTTTTCCATCTTCCAAAATAAATATTTTTTTATTTGGATCTGAGTAGCCGGCGCGCCAAGGACGACTAGACGGCGATTTTCGCCGGTCGCCGGGGCTTACGGAGATCTCTGATTATGTGTCTGTTATTAGCATTAGTGTAACAGATAAGGAGTAAATACTTTTATTCAGGTCGTGTAAAATGGTGACAGTGTAGCATAATGTTAATGTAAAGATAATTTATGATTTTGTAGGCATCTACGACATTTCGATGCTTATTTTTTATTTACAGCTACTAACAGCATTCTTCAAGTAGCTGAAAAAAGGGCAGTCAAATAGTATGCCAGTAAATAAAATTTAGTCTGTGTTCATATATATCCTCATGTTTCTTTCCCAATTCTTTTGTTTCTTTTCATTGGCTTGCCTTTCTCTTCGACTGATTTTTCTTGGCTTGTTTACCTCCCTGTCTTTATTGCTAACTTTTCTCCTTTTCACAGCAGTACAGTCATTTGGACCAAAGTGCGTTACTCTTGGCTGTTGACGACCCTTGCTACCTAAACCCAGACGATCTCTTTTAAGGACTGTCTTAATGGGAAATTTTCTTCCAGTTCCTTCTGGACCTAAACCTGTTCAGAAGGGAATAAATTAAAGAGTGTTAATTTTTTTTTTTTTTTTTTTTGGGGGGGGGGGGGGGGGTAGGGGGTAACACTGTGTTTCACAAGTGTGAAGCCAACTGCACAATTTTATGGACTTAAAATAAAATTTGTTTGGGAGGAAGGTCACTATTGGATACATTTTTCTTTGTTCAACATTGCTGATCATTTCATTTTCACATTTGTTTCACCGCGCTTAAAATTTACTTTCTTTCATTCTTTCACCACACATTGCGACATCAACATTGCTGATCCTTGCAGTATGCAGGACGCATGTCAAATATGAACTTAGTATATTATGGCCTCGCTCTCCATGGCAGGGTTCTCCATAGCTTAAGTGGATAGAGTGCCCGCCCAGTGTTTGGAAGGTGATAGGTTCAAATCCTGGACTTAGATTTTTTTGTCCCACAATCGTGACATGCTGATCATTTCATTTTCACATTTGTTTCACTGAGCTTAAAATTTACCATCTTTCGAAGTCACTATTATTAGATATTTTAGAAAGCAAATTCAAGTTTTTTGTTTGCTTAAAGTAAACAAATTTTTTTTCTAAGAGGACAAAAAGAAAAAACCTCTGCCACCATGGAGAGGTATTTATAGATTTCTGTTCTACAAGGAGCCCATTACCCACTGTAAGAGCAGAGCCTCCTTCTAGATCAAGGAGAAAAAAAAGGAGGCTCTCACTGTATAATGTCAAGCCTTGGAAGTCACCCTAGCCCGAACTTCTGGACTAGTCAATCTTGTTTTCTCTCGACAAACTGGTTTTGCAAGCATGAGCATCCGTTTGTTGATAAACCGATGATCATTGGGCCTGCTGTACCAAGCACCAGCCATTAGGCCTGAGTTGAAGACTTTATCATAGCAACATGCAGAGCATGCTCAACAGAGATCTGACTTGATTCATGAAGAGGCTTCTTGAGTACAGTTGAACCTCTGCTAACGGCCACCTCTCTGCAACAGCCACTTTCTTCTGTCCCCAAGGTAGGCGTTGTACAGAGATTCAACTGTACACCCAGGGTGCAAAGAAAATCATTTTTACAGCTTGCCATTCAGGCAAGCTGAAGCTAGCATTTACTAGCCCAGACGTCATTTCAACTAGCCCCAAACGCTTTTCGTTGTGCAGAATTGATTTCACACTTCTTCTGTTATTTAAATTCCTCAAAGAACATCACTTGCCCGTCGGGCAAGTTAAAAACAGATTTCACTAGCCCGATAGCAAAATCCACTAGCCCCGGGCTACTGGACACTACTTTCTTCGCACGCTGACACCAAAATAAAGCAAGCAGAAGAAAGGCTTGACTGAGGCCCTGCCAGGGTAAATTCTGACAAGTGACATGGCCCGAAAAGTGGTGACAGCATGTAAAATGAAATCGCGACAAGAGACGACCTCCCTCGGCCAAATTGCGATAGTGGCGGCAAAGCTGACAATAAACAACAAGCATTTATAAACACCGACACAAGACGCTTCAAAATTCAGACGGGTGACATGGGACCCCTCCTAGCAGGGCCTCTTGACTGGCAGGGTGCCCAGTACCCTGAAATGAGCTCCTTCTTTACCAGGAGTTGTATATGCTCCTGGGTTACTGTGCTTTTCATAAGTTTTACTATGTTCTTGTTATAACTGCAGGGTTCACATATTTGCAGTTTTTGGTTACTGGTAGGGGTTTTGACCAAACAGGGGCACCCAACGGCAAGTTTCGGGAAAATATCTGCTCGGAAGGCGATTTGAGATCTAGAATTTTCGGAGCATTTGTTGTAACATTTCTTGCTTGCCTGCCTCTCCTAGGATTTTCGAACATCTACAAAATGGTATAATTACTCATTTTAAACGGATTTTGACCCTAAAAAAGGCCACCTAGAATTTTCGGGAGCCTTTTCCTGGCTGAAATTTTCGAGAAGGTAAGTTTTTATCCCTATAATTTTCGTATCACTAGATATTCAGCTAGGAAATCCGAACAGATGAAAAGTTTTTAGGGGATAAAAATATGCCTATATCTACCGTTTGAATACTAAAATACGTTCAACAATGCTATGTTAAGTGGTTTTGAACTATATCCTCGTTGGGTGCCTCTGACCAAACCCCCTAAAACATCCTTAGATCTTTCTCAAAGATTACTTGTCATTTCAATACAATGTCCTTTTGATACAGGTTGTTTTGAAAACTTTTGCACAGTTGGCTTATAGAACAAGGAATATTCATGCCATATGTTTTTCTTGGTCACATGTTAACTGTACTTTGAGTGACTGAAATTAATACGCAGTTTTGCTACCTAAGTTCCTATCAAAATGACTTGTTTCAAAAGGACTTTGTATGGAAACAACTGGTTTCCTCTCAAAAGCAATCAACTTTGGATCTTGCAGCCCTTTCAATATTACTTCTGGAGATTAACAATTAATAATTAACTGATCAACTGCAAAAAGAAAATAGTTAGTAAAGAACAAACCTTTGTCATCATTCCAACCAGATTTTAACATCATTTGATAGCCAACATTGCCTTCTGGGATATAATAAAATGTCTTTTGAGGCTTGCGTTGAATATTAAACAAGTGAACTGTGGATCCCTTGTGTACCTTTTGATCATCTGTAAACTCTTGCTCACAAACTGAGCACCAAAATTTTGTTTTATCAGTGGAATGTTTATTTTCTCTCAGATCGGCTTTCCACTGTTCGGATTTGATGCAACCATTATAGGACCTGAGAAGTTCTACAATGTCAAAATGGTTAGCAACTATAGCAAGATCCAGTGCAGTTCTTCCTTGTAAGTCCTTGTGAAGTCTCCAATCAGCACCTTTCTCTAAGAGGTATTTCACAACATGAACCTGCCCACTATGAGATGCACACATCAAAGCAGTCCAGGAAAACTGGTCACACACATCGATGTCTATGCTATGAGATGAAAGCATATCTTTAACTTGTCTTAATCTTCCTTCCTGAGCAGATTGCAGAAACTGATTTACAATTCTGTGATTTGAATAACTTGAAACACATTTACTTGAAATTCTTGATCTTGAACAGGGAATTTTGTAGTTCAAATCGTTACATTTACTGTCACCATCAAAATCGTCATTACCATCTTTAGTTCCACTGGGTAATATTAAATTATTCTGTTTGTATTTTTCTCTTTTTGAACTGAGTTCTTGTTCAGTTAATGCCTTTGCATAGTCAAAACCTTGTCTATTAGAGCTTTCTGAAGACAAAACAGTTTCGTAAAATGTTCTTGCTTCCTCGCCGGACATCTTTCCACGTAACTTATCACATCTTGCATTGTATTTCCATCCGATGTACTTGCAAGGTTCTCTGATTCTTTGGCCTTTGCTGTAACAAACCTCTGTAAAACGTACGAAAAACTCATTTCTAGGACAGACATTGATGATAGCACACTGAAAATCCTTTTTGCGTGAATTATTTGACTCAATAGTATCACAGAGCCGTGACTTTTAAAAACAAAGGACAGAGCATATTTCACCAACGTTTTCCGCCATCTTGGTTTTATGCAACGTAACCTCGTTTCTATGGACCTGAAAACGAGGTTGCTAGACAACATTCTGGTATTCTCTGCGGAGTTTTTCTGCACCGTTTGTCGCGATTGCGCGGTTCTTAAATTGTCTTCGATCTTAGAACATAGCTTGCAAGAATGAGATAGCTCTTTTAATGCCTCGTGAACTGTTATCAAAACGGCGGTGGATGACGCGAATTTTATGGTTTAATATGAATATTTTGTTAAATTGAACGTGAGTGATTCGATGCTTTTCGAATGACGCACTGATTTTCCGCGAGCTGTGGTAAAATATTGGCGTTAAAACAGTTCCTGACATCATGGATAAATTCGTAATCGTTGGGGGATTTTTATGCTTTGCGGCCGATGTATTTGCAATCGCGTCGCTGGCGACTCCGGAATGGGTTGTGACAGACTTTGCTGGTAAGTTGAGCTGTAATTAAGAATTGAGCGCAAGTCAAAAATAGCGGTAATAATAATATTATGAATATAGCGCAGATTATTTAAGTTTAGTACATCTTTAAAAGTGCATGTTTTACCATTGTACCAATTATTTTCTTACAACAAATACTCATATCGTGGCCATCACAAGCCTTGACTGCAGCAGGAATCTTTAATTTCTCAAAATGCCCACGAGTTTTAATAGCATTATCACATGTAACCATAATGTAAGCTTACTTTGTGGGTAATCTGCCGAATTATTTGTAATTTTTTCTGCAAAATTTTATCATTGATTTCATCTCTAAAGGACCCTCAAAGATTCCCTGGTCAATGTCGACAAACAAACTGAATCACCTGGTGGGCCAGGGCAGGGGGAAGAGTGGGGAAGGGGTGGGGAGGACATCCTGTGAGCAGGGTGAGAAAAGGAGGCTCTGCCTGAATTAGCCTGCGAGCAAGCTCTCCTATTTGGGAAAAGCGAAGCGAGTCTCGCAAGAACGCACGAGCGAGCGCGAAGGGCAGAGAAAAGGAGAGCTTGCAACGATCTCGGCCCCTCGTGAGGCTCGTGAGGCAAATAGGAGAGCTTGCCCGCAGGCTATGCCAGAATCGCATCAAGCTTTTGAAGTGGCTGAAGTTCAAATTTCTGGACTAGTTTTCTCTCAACAAACTGGTTTTACAAGTGCAAGTATCTGCGTATTGCGACCAATGTCGCAACTGAGAGGATGTACCAAGCGCCCAGCTATTGTGCCTGGGTTCAAAACTGTATCATCGCAACATGCAACGCATGCTTAGCAAGATTTTACTCATTTCATGTTAAATCATTCTCAAATACACTGAAATCGAGCAAGCAAAGGAGAGACTCTGATGGCAGGGTGGTAGAGGGGGGAGGAGTAGGAAACTTTTACATTAGTGAGATTAAGATTCACATTTACACCAAACAGCAAACCTGAATTTGTACCATGTGACCAAGTTTTTCCCTTGTTTATTGTCATTAAATGTTTATTACTTCAACTAAAAAATAAGTAGTTTCATGCCAGTTTTATACATAAGAATAATTTGTTCTGGACAGTTTTTATCTGCTTATTTTCTATTCTGAGAATTTCTCAACTAGAATCTGACATTTGCCATTTGGCGTAAACGTGAATCTTAATCTCTCTATTATTGGTTGTTTGCCATCACATGGCAAACATGAAATCTTAATCTCTCCCTCGGAACAAATTTCGACAGTGACGGCAAAAGCCGATTAAAAGCGACAAGCATTTATTGGTTGGTTTAAAATCATCACCCCCCATGAGAATGACAAGGTGGCTATGTTGGTTGACAAAATAGAATGCATGTGACATTATTACCATGTGGTAGATCAATGGCTTACACGTTCAATCATGCCAGGCAAAAGTGACAAGGATCATTGGCAGATCTAGACATTGAGATCGGTGGGGGGGAGGGGTGGGATAGGGTGCTCATCTGGATGTTGACATAAGGGCGACAGTCAGGAAAAAAAATTTCTGGACTATGTGGCAATTTGATCGTAAAATAAGGGGGCTCGTCCACTATATCTACCACTGGTTATTTAAGGCCCTGTTCAGCTCTCTGGTTTGTGATTTGTCTACCTTAAATGTTGCAGGTTCTGTTCGGCTTGGTTTGACTGTCATGTGTCAAAAGTCAGATGGACAGCCGGAAGTGTGCATCACCCCTGAACTACCCCAAGAGTGGCTGGCCACACTAGTTTTTATGATTTTGGGTGTTATAGCTTTAACACTAACTTGCTGTCTATTAGTCTTGTCACCTTGGAAACCAACAATCGTTGATGCAGCAAAGTGGATTGTTTTTATTGGAAGTAAGTCAGTAAATTTATGTAGTGTCAGTCTGATTTGGTCAATTTTTCATTCACCCTTGCCTTTTATAATATTTTTTCTTACTTTTGTTTTGTTTTAGTGATTGTGTTCTGCCTGGCAGCTCTGACATTTCCACTAGGATTTCAAATGCCTGAAATTGGTGGTAGACCATACAAGCTTCCACATGGCACTCATGTTGGACCATCATTCTTCCTCTACATATTTTGTATAGTTTTCACAATTGCATCTGAACTATTTATATTCAAAGTTTGTCCTCTCTTGCTTAGATGATCAATAGGTTTTCTGTTACACTATTTTGTTTTAGTTTTTCCTTCTTATGATAATGGACATAGTAACTGGGTACTACATCTCCTTAAATAAGTGGCATGCACCAGAAAGCTTATTTAAAATCGAAGCAAAAACAAGAGTTTATATTTTAACTTGGGAATAATACTTATAAAAGAACTATGTAAGCATTTGGACCTAGAGACAACTCGCACTCACCAGATAGTGATAAAACTGTATTCTAGATTTTTGATAGCGTAGTTAAAGTTTTAAATTTAAAATGATTTTGTGAAAGGGAGAAAGGAAAGAGGCTTGTAACACCTGTACTACTGTATAAGTGTTGGGAATCAGCTAAGATTTCAAAATCAATTGTTCAAAATATTTAGAATGACCCGGCCTCTCGATCATTGATTATGAGAATTGTTCTTAGACTTGTTATTTTTCACCTGTCTGTGAGTCAAATCAGAGGTTGGTTTTATCACAATACACAGAACCAAATGCAAACAAAACTAGGAAATTCTGCAATGGTGTGTTTTTAAACATGGCAAAAAGATGTATGAATGTACCAGAAGGGGTCATCAATGCACTATAGCTGCATCTTAAGTCCATTAAATTAGACAATTTTACACAATTGTTAACTTTTGTCAACAATAATATTTATCTTTCTTTTAATTGTTCTGCAATAATCTATTGAACATTTTCTATAAATTAATTTTTTACCATCCTCGGAGACCTAGGGGCGGTCAGTCGGGCCGGGAGAAAAGGCGTGACAAAAGTTTTCAAGTACAGGCGGAAGAGCATCCTCGGAGACCCAGGGGCAGATAAAGGGGGTGAGGGAAAGTCTAGCCTGCGAAAACATCCGTTTCTCTTCGCTCTTCGTCGCTGAAATATTTCTTGACGATTGATCTCGAGATTGCCGAATTTATAAAAAAATTTATCGAGCGGTTTTTGGAAAAATGCGAAATTTTTAGGCATGGACCAAATTACCTCCAAAAACTGTATCAAAAGCAGCTGAATGCAAGTTAACAAAAACCTTCTTACTCGCAATCGCCGAGAGCAATTCCCCTCTTTTTTTGTATGCAGCTTTCAATGGAATCAAACCACTATGAGATGAAGCCGCGTTCCCAAAGCTTACCACTTTCTTAAAATATTAGCAAATTGTGCGGCTAGCATGCTATTTCATTGTTTTTATGATTCTTAAAACTGCATTTCAAAATATTTCGAAAACGCTCTCATAGAATTTCTTCAAACTTTGCCATAATGGAGGCAATTATGGCAGGTACATACTCCCTTAAGCGATTTCTTCAAAAAAACTCCTGGTACAGAGAAACACAAAGATAAATGAAAAACGCAATGGCGTCATTACGTTGCCATGGCGACTCTGATTGCAATAAAACCCAGATCATCAGAAATTTTCATCTTTATATAATACAGTCGTGGTAACTTTTTCCCCATATCTTTACTCATGCCGACGTAGTTAATGCTCAAACTTGGGAGGTATCCCCCTAAAAAAATCCAGTCGAGCCACCTTAAGGTTTCCTTGAACTTGATAACAGCTGGGTCTGTTTTTTAACCAATAGCATTAGATTATTTTTTCCGTCTAAACCTTGACAATAAAGAGCAGTATTTTGATTAGTGAGAGACAGCAACTAGTTTATCATTATTAGACACTCATGGTGGGTTTATTAAAGATGAAACAACAACAACATGATACCAAAAAAAAAAAAAAAAAAAGCGTATTTGTCCATTGCTCACCATAGAGTCTCCAATCAAGTGGTTTGGTCCTTTACATCTCCTCTGGGACTCGGATTTTTTTTCCGAGTCCTCCTCAAATTAATATCATGTTGTCATGGTGGGTTATTTAAACAAAGACTAACTTAGACCAATATTTAGCAAATCTTTGGTCCTTTAGATCTCTTCCTTACTGGGTTGGTGTAAAGAAAACAAATGCTTTTCCAGTCTACACCATATGCTTTCATGAAACTGTCCACAATAAAATGGTGTTTAAATAAAAGCGTTCAGCGAACTGAAAACAGCTTATACAGTGGTTTTATTAAACACTGGCTAAACACCGTTTAAATAACTGGCCCTCAAACTTTTGTAATCAGTACATCAAACAGAAGGTGCAGTGTTATCATCCACTCTCCAGACTTAGAGAAGTGGGTACGAAAAAGAAATCACAGCAATGGGTTTTCTACTTGAGTCCGGATAGTCTCTTACTTTTCTTTGCAAAGTTACTCCACACAAACCATTAATTTACATGTGCATACTAGCAGTGAGTGGCGAAGACACAAGCAGCGATTTAGGAGGGTCTAAGCCCAAAAAGAAAAATAATACACCATTACGGCTCTTACTTCTGTCTGGGGACATCAATCTCATTATCAAGTAGACCTGGGCCCAGTTGTTGGAAGGCTGATTAGTGCAAACGCGAGGATAAATTTTAACCCAGGTTTCTGTTCCTGTGTTAAAAAGGATTTTCTTGGATAATTTTCTCCATTCTTTTTTAGAGTATTCAACCATCAAATTGTAGACAAACACAATTAAACTGAAATCGCTTTTAAGCATTCATATTTGGATTCAGATTTTGCATTAACCTTGGGTTATCTTAATTCAGCTTTGAACAACCTGGCCCCCTGGTTTCTCTGTCTCATCCCAAATGATGTCATTCTTTGCAGACACTCTAGCTTGCATAAGAGCTTGACAGATTCTAAGGGCTTGTTTACATGGAGGTGGAGGACCCCAGGAAGGTGAGGTAATCCACCCGTCCATGTAATCTCTCATGTGGTCACCCCAACTATCATTTAAACATGATCAAATTAAAATGAATGATCATGTGGACAGGTGGGTTACCCCACCTAAGTGGGTTACCTCACCTATCTGGGTTCCCCCACCTACAGACCCTAGGAGAAAAGGCGTACTGCAAGCAGTCTTTTTTTGGACCTACTTCAAGGTGTCTCGATCTTGGATGGAACATTGTGCCCTGATTGTGCTGAATGGAGTGTTTGATAAAAGCTTCCCAATTGATCATTTATTGTTGAAGAAATTGAAAGTTAATATTTGTTAAATGATTTGGTTATTAACTTATCCAATATCCAGACCTTCTTCATACTCATGATTTTCTAAGTTTGTTTTTTCCTTTTCATGAATACCGTAAATGACCTAATAGATGTCTGGGATGTTTATTGGATTTAAGGGGTCAAGAGGGGGTGTTTAATAAATGGGAGGCGCTTATTCTCATAACCGTAACAAGCTCAACAAAACTAAAATGCTTTCAGCAAAAATATCAAGAATTTAAAAATAACGGTATATCCACTCCAACATAATGGATACGTTTATGGTGTCTAAAGATCCGTATGGCTGTTTCAAATGTCAACATAATTTCAGAATCCTTGCTTAAAGTCATTGTTGCCATCGTTAGTCTATCCTCACCTTAAACTTGACATTGAACGAGATACAAACACAAACCATTGCTACTCAAACAAGAAAACTGAAAAATTGAATGATTTTGCGCTCTAGAGAGAGCATGTGATTACATCATTTTTGTGCTGGCTGAGGAAATCTGTTTTTGCCCCTACAACCGCTTTACACAATTTTATGCTGCAAATAAAGCACCCATGACACAAAAAGACTTGGTGTGACACGAAGGATGGAAAAGTAAACACCAACATCATTCAAAATTTGCTTTATATACATTTTATTTCACTTCATTTTGTAACAGTTTACTTCAACTCCTTAACGGCCAAACCTATCAAAAAAGGAAAGTACAGAAAATTAATGGCACAATGGCACAAAAGAAGACATACAAGGCAAGCAAAGCTTTAAAGAAATCAAGATTGTGAAGAAGCAAACTAAGAATAGTTGTTACTTTGGCGAAGATGTTTCAACTTTCCCCGAAAATAATTTCAAAAACTAATCGCAGTCAAAGGGAGCTGACAATCAGCAATTTTGCCACTTTCGGGGGAATATTTGCCACCTACTTAACATGTAGACTACGTAATAAAAATAAATATGAAATGAAAACCACACAAATTTAGGCCTTTGCCTCCTGCTTCTCTGGTGATTTTGACTAAAAGTTATTGTTGTTGCTGGGTATAATATGTTAGCATCTAAACAACAGAAGTCTGCTGAGATAACTCGTCCATTACTGACACAATGTTTAAAAACCCACTTTTTATGTCAAAAATAGAAGGGGACACATGCTTATCCATGACACGCAAATACTAAAGGTGAGCAAGGTATTATGTACATGTATGCTTGTTGAAAGGAAACATAGCAGCTCAGTAAGTGTCTTTGAGCTTCACGGCAGCAAAATGTCTCTTCTGGTGAATGGTGCAAGCATTTCTCAGGATGGCATGGGGCGCACTTTCAACTGGCTAAAAAATTGTGCGTTTACTGTTGTTCTGTTCACACAGAACCACCTTAGTGACACAAACATTTGGGTGCCTGGTTGTTCAAAATTCTGTGTGAACAGAGTGAAAATATTGATCAGTCCGGTTTGAATAAAGTGTTCGGTCAAATTTTTCAGCTGGTTAAAAATTCATCAGGTTCCCTGTGAAAGTGGCCTTAGACATGACATGACACATATGACATGACCTCAGACAAAGTTATATCACCTGAATTTTCTTTTAAAATGCTTAAATATACTCATTACAGAGAGTACAGTGACTCACAACATTAAGGTATGTTGGGCACTTCACAACTATGTAGAAAGAGTGGATCTTTGCAAGGGATAGTAAAATTGAGAAAAAAGTTGGGCAAATAGAAATATTTCCAAGAATGCAAAGTAACAAAAGTGTGAACATGTGAGAATAGCTTGTCTACAGACAAGCTGGAACTCATGATAACTGAAGAATAATGAAGAAGATTCAAACAAACCTGGAGGCAGAGACTGCTTGAGTTTGTCAGCTTTCTCTTTGTCTTGAATGACCAGAGTGTAAAGATAACGACTGCATCGCACCTTGAACTTAACAGTATCTTTTATCTTCTTTATTTTCACAGCTATGTACAAAAAAAAGCTCTCTTAAAAGTGGGTTTAATAAGGAGTGCATGAAACATGAACGTGTAGGGCCAAAACACAATGGAAAACAATTCAGGCCTTGCACCAAGTCACACAATAATCACCCATTCACCAAAAGTTAACACCTGAGATAGGCTACACACTTCCAATGATAACCAACCACCTTTGTAAAATGCCAAAATTTTCCCACAGCTAAATAGTTGGAACCTTTTCTACGCGACCAAAAACATTTTTGGGGATGACAGTTTTGTAAAAATATTTCCCAATTTTTTTCTAACCACTTGAAGGGACTTAACTTGACAAACGGAAGATCTCTAAACTGTTGTATGTGCCAGTAACATTACTCAGATCATACAAAGAACATTTAATTGCCACATCTACATTCCCTATTTCCTCAAATAAGCGCTGTGGCACTTATTAAATTTTTCACGCCTCAAATGCAACCTTTATTTGAGGGCAGCACTTATTCAAGTATATACAGTATATTATAACTCAGAAACTGCATACAATAAATTCCCTTCCAAAAAGAAGATGGGTTGGGACACCTACATGGAGAGGACCCCTGTGGTTTGATTCTCATATGCAAATACAGTACAGCTCAAAAGCAAGTTAAAAGTCACTCTAGTCTCGATCCTCAAGACTCAAGAGTGATACACTGTATATGCAGGATAAATCTTCGAAGCCAAAAATATTGATTTATGCTTATTAAAAGCTTGCCGAAGCTGGCAATTCAAACAGTTAAAGAACACCGCACTGCAAGCACTGATCATCCATGCGAATTTCTGAATGGCTGCGGGACTGTACAACAAGAAAACAGAATTAATTCCACGTAGAAACCTTCCTTCTCAAAACTTGAAGCCTGGAAATTGAGACTCGATTCTCGTGTCACAAAACTCAAAGCGTTCAAGCTTCAAGACGCAAGGATCGACTCTTGACGATTGAGTCAAGACTGTCAATTTACTTTGAGCGGTACTGTACCTCCTGTAGGCAACCATAAAATCTTTGCATTTCAAGATGCTTGCGGAAGGTTTGACTTTAAGCACTTTAAACATTATGGCAGAATTCAATTTGTCATTTTTACAACATAACAAAGACGAAGGAAACAGGACTATCAAGTCACGTATAAATCTCTTTCAGAAATGCAGATTTGAAGTGGTAATATATTTTGCAAGTTCTTCACAAAAAGTAAAATATAACAAACCTCGCTGTTTACCACTATTCAGAGGTCAAAGCTAAATTGCAGAATACCCAGGCCACTAAATATTAATAAAGTCCAACTAGTGGTCTATTATCAATGCTGCATTCTGATTGGTTGAGCTATTACTAGGCTATATGCTATAGCCCACTAGTAGCGAAAAGCGCCAGCTTTTTGGCGGCAAAAAAGGATTTAAGTCTAACTTTAACTAGCTTAAGTTGTTTTGCCTCGATATTTCTGACCAACTGGTTGGATTTTACTAAAACAATTATCCCTCTCGCCCTGATGGCCTCTGAGCCAACAGCCCATTTGGCCTTCGACATCATAGGCTATTGACTCAGAGCCCACTCGTGCCCAGATGGTCTCCTTGGGTTAATTAAAATTTCAAGTTATCCCCGTCTGTTTCAAAAGTCTGCCCGCCAGCTCAGGTCCATTCAGCCTCGTCCATAATTTAATTATCTATTTAACTTAAAATTCTGACATCGATTGCAGGAGTGCAATCTGAAAGAAAACAAGTTACTTACATTTGGCATCCTTCCGTCTGGCGGTTAGCAGAAAATCTTTGATTTCGTGGATCTGTTTTGGCTGCAAAAAAAGTTCTCGAGTTAAAATTGAATCAAACAAACGTAAAACTAGTACGAACTCATTTTCTCGTACCCTATAATAACATCCTTATTTTAAGAAGATGAAAAAGTCACTTTAACACCAAAAAAATATCAAAGAAGTAGAACTAACCATTGTGAAAAAAACGTGATAGTGATGGACAGACACCTAAAAGTATGAGAGACAATTTGTGAGTAAGGGTTTGTTACCTAAATAACAACAATAAGTACCATTTTTAGACATTAGGTGACTAAATTTTCATAAAGCTTTCATATTTATTGGAAAAATGAGGAAATTTTGCAAGGATGACAAAGATGAAGCAGGATTACTATCATCATCATAACGACCTTCCAGTCAAGCCAAGATGAAGTCCGAAGAGAACGGCTCCGGAGCATGCGCGTGTTTTTCACAGCGGTTTTTCTCTATAGACACACAACGTTACGAGATACACGAAGTGGTTACCTGAAACAACATGGCAGACGCAAGTGGCCGTAAGTTATTTTCTTAAATGAAATCACTTTTTCTTTCTTTCAACGTGCAGCTAATTATTTTCAATTTACGTGGACAGATGTAGTTAAAAAGAGAGCCCCGCAAAAAGGGAAAAGGCGCCGAAATGACATCTACGTAAACAGAAAAACGGACTTTGCAGCACAACTTGAGCGATGCCAGAAGTCACTCGATTCAAGGTTTGTTTCAGTTTTAAGGGTAGGTTAGAGCGTATTTCTAAGCTCTAGGGGGAAGGGTTACGCTTGGGGTCCTTGACATAAGTGTAGGTATGTGCGGGTATCGCTGCCGCTGATGATCTGAAACCCTGACCATTAATGAAAAGAGAAACTAAAATTCCCTACCCTGTAAATTTGTAGGACGACAATTAAACCTGTTGTACAATCCTGCTAAGAGAAAAGGGAGAAAAGGAAACAATTTACGCCCAGAATTGTTTTTTATTTTTCCGAATTATCAGAAAACTGCCAAGATATCATGTCCTGTCCAAAACGGCATGAACCTGTATAGGACCGCCCCACGCCAATCCAATTCAGCAGATAATAGGGAGCTTAAGCAAAGACGTTTTCGGGCAACGCATTTCAACCAGAAGTGGACTTTTTGCATTCTTTGGCATTGTTTTTGCCCAGATTTTCGGGCAAATTGCCCCTGTAAGTTGAAAAAACTTACCAATTCAAATTGATAGCGCCAAGTCATATTAACACAGAAAACGTGTCACTTCCAGTTGACGTGCGTCATCCAAAAAACATCTTTTCTTAAACTTTGTTTTGGAAACCTGCAAATAATTATTACTGCGATAATTATTATGGTGTTTTTGCAGCTTTACTTTAAATGAGAAATTTAATTAAACCAGTTTTACTTTTAAAAAAACATTCCTGCTTGCTACAAAATCAGATCAAATTCCAAGCTTTGAAGAGGCTGGCAGCAGCCCAGGGGAACTCTGGATTTCAAATGACAGGGATGATCAATTGGGGCAAAAATCAAAACCCAAAAATCCCCACAGCTTCCAGTAAAACTCGAAAAAATCTCTGGACCAGCAATTAACCCCCTGAAGAACCCACACCGAAATAAGAGAAAAGAGATAGAGAGCCACCTTAATGCTACACAGTGTTTTTTGTGACCATCATCAGGGAAGTAAGAACAAAATTTGTTCTCACTTTCTAAATATGGTATTTAATAATATTTTTTTTCATTTTTAATAGTGAGCAAGAGGTTACAATACATGGCTTGGGTGCTGCTATTAACCGTGCAATTAATCTGGCATTGCAGCTGGAACACAGAGGTCAAGGAACTGTTGAGGTATCTTTAGCAATATTATTGGATGAGGCTGAGTATGATCTGAAGAATTATGGACATCAAGGAGGGTGTTATCAGCCAAGGCCAATAACACCCTCCAAGGCAAGTTCAGGAGATAAAGGGATGTTAAGTTCTGCAGAATATTCTCCAGATAGCAGATGTTGTCTGTTGAGTTGTAATTCTTGCTGTTCCTGCTATGTATTTAGGCAGTAGTTTGGCTATGTCTTCTTCGTGAAACATGTGAAATGTTCTGCCACAGTTTTGTACTGCACAACCAAAACAATGCAAGCTCATCCCCAGGGATTCTCATTTGCTGTCCATTTTTCTGGCATTTATGCTGTACTATTGACCTCATTCTCCATATATCGCAAACATCTTCCAAAGTTGGCCAATGCTAGCTGGTTAAGGAGAATTAGCTGTGGAATGTCAGCCAATCAGAAATGGAGCAATATTTTGCATGAATAATATTGTATGTTAATGTCCCCCTGAAAGTGGATGGTGTTTGTAAAACTGAAATATTTACATTGTGCATGTTAAGGAACAGTAGTGGAGTGGTTGACTGTGCATTATCTGGTTGCCATCAAGATGCAAAAGATACTAGTTTTACTCCTTAAAAAATATATTAAGTATTCTAACATTACACCTCCTACTTTGCAGGTATCAGCAACAACTTCCAGTGTCAAACTGATTGATGACTTTGAGCCAGAAGATGATGTAAGGATTTCTTTTAACTCCAATGGGTTTTTAATAATTCCACCTCTTCTTGAAAGTACATAACACAATATTACCTCTTACTACGAAATTTCAAAATTTAACAAAGATCCCATAGGTTCATTAATACTTCTGCCATACAGAAATGTAACAACTCATTTTTCTGTTGGCTGATGTTTCCATCAGTACTTAGTACAAATAGGCTAGAATATTTACTGTCAAGCTCTTTGAACCATTGAAGTCAACTTTTTATTTATCAGTAAGCACAGTGTGTATCCAAATAAAGCAAAATGTAAACAGTGACATCAAAGATTTGCCAAAATGCAGACACCTTTGCCTTTTTGCAAATCTTACCTAGTACTGATCCCACCAAAGTTTTTCATACAAAGAATTGACTGGACCTTTCATTTCTTCTGTTTTGCAGGACCATGAAGGTTACTCCAAAGTACGAACAAACTCAGCCATTCACATAAAAGTGTATAAAAAACAACTGTCTCAAGTAGCCATAGAAGGAATCTCTAAAGAAGTCACTTGAAACAATGACTTGTCAAACAATGTCATGTGTTTCTGCTTTGTGTGTCACAAAGAGGCTGTACTAAAGAGACAATGTGTTTTTGAATTTCAAAGATGGTTTGAAGAAATAATTATATTGACACAAAAATCCCAAATATGTATAATTATTCTAACACTTCCTACAAGTAGAGAACAGATGGTGAACTAAAAATCTAAATCAGACAAGTGCCATAGTGACAACTGCATCATTTTCAGTTCAGTGGAATACTAACACAGTCATTGCTTTCCAACATTACTTGCTACCACTCCAAGAAAGTGGTGGTCAGTCACGTCAGTAACCTGCACCACAGATGAAACTAAACTCTGGTTAAGTCTGTCTGTGAAACAGTGCCAAAATACTTGTTCTGGGTCCTCACCTGTTTACCAGGATTTTAGTATGCGCCATGATTGGCCTGTGAAAAAAGCCATTGTCAATTTGCCAATCAGGATGAAACGCTCTTCCGGCCAGAACAAGGATCTCGGCACTGCTTCACAGACATTACTAACTGAAGTTGGCTATCATGTCAGTGACCTTGGATCACCTGAGAATTAACTTCTGATCCAAATGAACTTTTTTTTCGTTGGAGACCCTGTTAGATCTAGCCTGTAATCAGACCCAGTAGCAATCGTTTACACTCTACCTTGCTCAGTTACTTAAATTAATTTTGGTATTACATACTTTAGGCTCTTGCAGGGATTGTTTACCAAACAAAACAACAATAGAATAACCAGTTTACTTTACAAGTTATGTTGCATAATCAGAGTTTTATCTAATATTAACAGTTATCTGACATTGCTGTACATTTAACTTATTTCACATACCTATTACTTTAACAGAACTGTTATTGAAGGAAACATTCTTTTGTGTGTTCTGGAGTCATGTTTATAAATAAAATCTATTCCTGTCTAGACTGCAAAAAGGGTCATTTTTTCCTTAATGCTGCAGCTTGCAAGGCACAAAGCACTGGCAAACTGAACTTCTCCCACAAAGCATGTAAACATCATATACAAGGAAAGAAAAAGGTTTGCAGGATCTTGCAGGAAGGGTGCAATCCTATGTCTGGCCAGCAAAGTCACAGAACAATCTAAACTGCAAATGTTACACCTTAATAGGGACATAACTGGCAAGAAAGGTTCGACACTAACAAGCCATTTTCATGGCTCATTCAGTGTGATGGATCATCAAGGTGTTGGTGGTATTTTTCACTCAACCCCTTTGCTTGTTATTTCCAGCATATGTATAGTGTGTAAATCAGATAAACTTGAACCACCAACATTGCCTTGATCAGCATCAAAATCCTTCAGAGGGATCTCAGCACCTTGAAGTCCCCATTTATTCAGCAAATCTTCAATGGTGCAGCTAGAGCTGGAATATATAAACAAGAGATCAACACTTTAAGCCCAACTTGCAGATAGCAACCAACAGGCCATTTGCACAATGACAGCTTTTTACTATTCTGACCAGAATTCATTTCATTTTTTCTTTCATATTTAAATTTGGTAATCCCAGTGAGATTTAATAAATAACAAAAGCCGTAATTTGCACAAGAAAGCAAAACCCTGAAGGATTCAGGTAGTAGTAGCAACAGGGCACCATTGTACAAATGGCCTATTTCTATGACATCAATGCTTAAAGTGTATATGACAAGAATTTTTTGTCATGATTGTTTTTAATTCCTAGATATGTGTAAAATATGTATCCGAAATTTTAACTCGCCAAAAAACTTACCAAACGTTCTTTCTCTTCATCAAAACATGCAAATTTGTCTCCAAAGATGTCTGCCCTATTGCATGACCAAATTGAGAAGTATGATGTAGAATGATTTGCAAGAATGTCAAATGATTTATAAGATTGCAGCAAATACAAAGGATTTTTGTTGCTAACAACTCCACATTCATCTTCAGAATCTTCATTTACTTCGGCCATACCTTTGTACAGTCAGATACATTACGCTTAATCCCACACAACACATAGCAACAACCAGAATTGGACTGGAAATCTGAGCAAATCAGCTGATGTCAAATGATGTCATTAGCCTTTTTTTTTACCCTGATACTCATCCCCAGTCTCTGGGACATTTCTGAAGGGAAAAAAGCAGTTTTTTGATCACCAAAATTCAAGAAATGATTTGGGAGACACATTTTTAAAGTTACATACTGTTAATCAAACTTATCTAACCACCAAAATCAGTTTTAAAAAATTCATGTCATGTGCACTTTAATAAAACATAAAGTTTACAAAAGTAAAGCAAATTCTCGTTATTAGTGCTAAATAGAAATGTATAAACAGTGTTTAAGAGAACTAGTGAGAAATGCCGGAACCATAACTGCGAGTTCCTCCCCTGAGCCAATCTTGTAAGTCTTTTCTCAGATTTGACAATTCAATTCCCACATTATTTCATAATCAAAAATAGGATTAATAGCTGTTCAAGTACCTTCTCTCCTGGTAAGTTGTCCAAAACTTTGCTTGTACATTTTTCTCCATCAAAAAGGACACTGTGGCCAGAATGTCATCAAAATCTATATTTTGTAAATAACAAGAGGATAAACACAAGTGTATTTTTTTTACCCCCAGCTACATTTTGTTTAAACAGCTGCTGAGAAGATGATAGTGAGAACTAACCAGAGAATATATACACACTGACACACACTGAAACACATGAAAAGTCAAGATCAAGGGAAGTGCCTGTGCATGGTGCAAACTAATTTCAATATTGTATACAGCCAGGACCCACCACTCCTCTAAAAGAATGGTTCCTCAAAAAACGTAGGTCTTGGAAAATTTTGGCCCAATATCAAAATCTGAAAAGCAACTGTGAACAGTTTCGAAGTCTCGTTTTCAAGTGATTTTGTGTCTTGAAGTCTTTAATTTTTTTGAGTCTCGGTCTTGAATTTTGAAACTGGGGTCTCACAGTCTCGTAAAGTCTCAAATTTACGTTTTAAGAACATTTTTACATACTGCATTTCCTTAAAAAAATGCCCAGGCATGTATTTAAAATTTTGGCTAAAAGGAGGGGCACTTATAATATAATGGAAGGAGGGCACTTGATTGAGGGAGAACTTATTAAGTTTTTTTTTAACAGACAGTAATTTTATAATTGCTAAATCTTTAATTAAAAAACAAATACTATAATATTATGCACATAAACCTATGGTCAATATTAATGCCTTTCATTTGTTAAAACAACGTGAGGGGTAGGGGAGACGGGTGCTTATTCCAGAGAGGGTGGTTATTACAGCGTGGGCACTTATTCAAGCAAATACATTATCTTAATACCATAATCACCTTTGGTGTCATAGAAGCAATCAGAGCCAAGAATTATATCAGCTACTGGAAGTCTGAATAGATTTGGTGAAAACTGCCCCCAAGTTATTCCAACAACTTTAATTGAATCTTGACCATTCACATGGCAAGTGTGATGACAATTTCTCAAGCATTCTGAGTATTCTTCCTTATCAGTAAGAGTGACCTTTGCACCGCACAGTGAAGCTACAATTCCAGGAAGTGAAGTCCCTGCACCAATCTACCAGACAAAAAATAAGAGGCACTTTATTGGAGTGTCAATATGATAAGCACAAAAGTACTTATTAAGGACACTATGTTTATGTCTCCCATTAAAAATGAGACCATCACTTTATGTGGTCACTCAAGCCATGCAAAGGTATAGCCATTTGCAACCCAAAGGCAGTACCTTCATTTCTCAGTTCTTTTAAGACCCTGATTATTTTCCCGGTCACAGAATTGAACCCTCAACCTCCCACCCTGCAGTCAAAGACTCTACTAGTCCTGCCGTGGTTAATAGAGTAAGAGTTTCATTAGATAGTTTAAAGCGTGGCCTAAAAGTGACCACCCTCAAGCACTGTCCAGCTCACAAGCTCCCAAGATTGAAGCTGTTAGAGTACAATTTTTAATTAACATTTACATGCAAAAACATGAAAATAGCGAGACATTAAGTTTTATAAAAATAAGACTGTACATTTAAAGAAAGGCTTGGTACACAAGTCAACTTAAATTATTATACTTTTTTTGTACGCTCAGAAAGAAAAGTAAGAATAATATATTACCTCAATAACTTGTTTTTGTTTTACTTGATCTCTGCTGTGCCAAATGAACTGTGCAAGAACTGGAGCTGAAGGCCAAGTGAACATTCCATACTGAGGATCTACAATCTTAAACAAGATATAGAAAAGGAGACCGAGCATAAGTTAAAAAAAATTCTGAGGTCCGCCTTCATTCAAGATTCGCCAAATTTTAAAACTTTCAGTAATCTTATAGCCTGTTGAGTTCGCAGACCCTCTATTTTCTCCTTCGAAAAGAAAAAGGATTCTTTAAGGAAACAATCTCTGTCTGCTCTGTGTATAGCCTGGTAATTTTAAAGCGACTTGGCGAGACTGACATTTCTAAAGAGAGTAGAAGCATACCTCAGGTACTCGCACATTTATCTCCGTTTTTGTCGACTCGTCTCGAAAGTAAAACACTCTCTCCACTTGCATTGAGGTGAGTAAAAGAACATCACATCGATCAGTCAACTCAGGTAGGAAACAACCAGGCGAAAAATAGCACCTCAAGGTCCACCGAGCGAGACTTGGTGGCTAGTTACCAGACTTCTCTCATTGTCTAATATGGCGTCTGTTGTTTGTGTTCTATGGATGTGCTGAAACGTTTTAATGTTTATAAGTTTTTTGTGTGTGTTTTTATGGTAGTAATTCTTTGTTTTCAGAGTTTAATAGTATCGTGTCCTTTTGGTGTTATGTCTTAGTTCAGAGGATATGTAGTAAGTCTGAGTGATGTGTTCCACGTGTTTGTCCACGATGCATGTTTAGGAAGTGGTGTTAGTCACAGTGTTTGTCTGTGTGTGGAGTAAGTTTAGAAAGATATCTCATTAGTTTATCTGACGCAATGCGAATGATTTTAAATGTTTTTGAATTGACAACAGCTCTTCAATGTTGGACGTCTTTACTCATATGACACCAACCTGGTGAATGATTCGAACCGTCTTCCATAAGAGTGAACTGTTGTCGTCACCTTTTAACAGATTTGTTGGTTTATGATGATATTTTTGTCTGAAACCAACTGTGTGTGAATAAGGCATTTTTTTATAGTTACTTCTTGTGGCTTCCTTCCCTGCTAACAGAGGTCTCTTACGACGATGCAAATCTCTGTCATTTTTGCCTCGTTGTGAGAGACCTCTGCAAGCAGGGAAATGGTTTCCTAGCTGTCAGGAGGTTACTCACTCTGGTGCATGACTGACCACAGCTAGCCCAAGCTCGAAATAGCATCGAGCATCGGACATCGGCGAGCAACGGCATTGTTGCGTAGCATTCAAAATATAAGGATTTGTATGGGTAAGGCCCGGTTCAAACGTCGAATTTCACATGTGCCGAACTTAACGCGAGAGTTAAATGCATGTGAAGTGCGACGTTTGAATCAATTAAATTCGACTGTTTAAATTAAATGCGACGTTTGCCGTATCTGCGACTGAAACAGTCGAAGATTCGACTTAGGTTCGACTTTTGATTCAAACGTCGCATTTCACATGTGCCGAACTTAATGCATGAATTTTAGTAAATTATTATTATATTACTGGGAATATTGACAGCGAGCAGAGTTAAATTCGACAGAGTTCAGAGAGTTAAATTCGACGTTTGAATCAAATGCCGCATTTAACTATTTAAGTCGACTAAAATAGGAATTAAGTTCGGCACATGTGAGATTCGACGTTTGAACTGGGCCTAAAAAACCTATCGTTTCTGTAACCTACGAACATGAAAGGATTTCAATAAAAAACAGCTTACCTTACTCAAAATGTGTGTTACCTCTCCCCTGTGTGGTCCACGGGCCGATTTGTGGGTTTTTATGAAAACGGTTTTCTCTCTCAGGAGAGACATAACACACATTTTAAGTAAGGTAAGCTGTTCTTATTGAAATCCTTTCATTTTCATGGGTTACAGAAACGATAAGACTTTTGTTACAATGCCCCCAGACCTCGCTGCAGTAATTAAAGTACGGTTGAACTAAGGCATTGAAAACGGACTCTAGCGTGGTTCGATTAACAAAAGGCCTACAACGTTTAATTGCTCCAATGCCCGATGCGATTTTCTTGGCTATTTTTTCAATGTGCATATTCCATGAAAGGTTTTCGTCTGTATGCACACCCAGAGATTTAACCGAGCTAACTTGTTTAATTATGTCACCACCTATGATTAGTTTAGGGGAAGTATCGTAAGTACCAAACTTTTGCCGCGATCCAATTAACATGAACTCAGTTTTAGATGAATTGAGAGTCAATTTGTTTGCAGTGAGCCATGTATTAACATTGGATAGGTCGTGATTCATAACATCATTGATCGTTTCTATGTTGTTACTGGCAAAGGTCAGGTGAGTATCGTCGGCATACATACGTGCAACTGAATTAGACAGGCAATTAGGAAGATCATTTATGTAAAAAATAAAAAGCAAAGGTCCTAGAATTGTTCCTTGCGGAATGCCACAAGTGAGAATTTGACTATTTGAGAGGGAACCATTTACGAAACAGTGTTGATTGCGATTATCTAGGTATGACCTAAACCATTCATAAGCGTTACCGCGGATACCATATTCGAATAATTTAGACAGAAGAATTGTATGGTCAACGGTATCGAAAGCTTTTTTTAGGTCGAGGAAAACTACTGCATTTACACTGCCTTTATCAATGTTGAAGGCCCAATCGTTAGTGGCCTCCAACAAGGCAGTAACAGTTGAGTGGAGGGAACGAAAACCAGATTGTTGGCTGGAAATGAAATTGTTTTCAGTAAGATAACCGCAAACCTGGTCGTAGATGATACGCTCAAACACCTTAGCTACTATAGGGACGATAGAAATTGGGCGATAATTGTTAACTGCAAATGGAAATTAAGTAAGAGATAAAATCTTACCTGTTTTGTTCTATTCTTGAATCTACTGTTGCGAGAAGTGAAATGGAAGTTGTTTTACGTTGCAAAAACTGTGTTCAAGTTGACGCTTTAACCGTTGAGATTTTATCTCTTATTTAATTTCCATTTGCAGGTTACAAATAGGTGCGTCGGTCCCCTATGCCGTGGGAGAACTGTTTTGCGGTTCCTAACCAACAGCTACCACTTGTCCACGGTGGAGTTGGCGCTTAAGGGAGTGCTTTGTACTTGCCTCGGCAGTAAAGGGTCCTTGATACCCGGGCTCCCCCGCTCATTGACCCGACGCCGCTATGCCATACTAATGGGCCCAAATAGGGGCGAAACAGCTGTCCAAGGCTGCCACTGCCGGGGTGGTACGGTTGCAGTGCACATGGGTAAGGTACTGACCATACCGCAGAGTTGGTACGTGTACTTCGGTGTTTATTTTCGTATTGCTACATTTTGTTGCCCGAAAACACATTCTGAGATAATTTCATTTGGTTGCCTTGGTGGCAGGGAAAGCTAGGAGAAGGCTTTAAATAGCTCTCTTGTTAGTGAGTTTTGGGACAACCAACCGTTCTGTTTTTATTTACAATCTTGTTTTTACAATGTTTTTATTTACAATTCTCTTTTCAATATAACTTGCAAGTTCTGTTTCTTGCCGCTTTCATTCTCCAACAAGCTGCACCCGTTCAGGTTCACGGATTCTTGGCGCGCTAATCGTGCATATTCATAAGGACGAAGGCAAACAAGCTCCCTATAGCAAGAAACACAATTTTTAACGTCCTCTCCTCCCAGTTTTCTTCTCCAAATTTCCATTGTTCCCCACCACCACCACTAACAGCATTTCTATTGGTTTCTCTTCACCACCAAACGGCTGTGAATTCACCGTCGTTCATGTATTCCTCCGCAACGTATTGAGATTCCTTCGCTAAAAAGGAGTAAAACACCCCTCTCATTCTACTATAATGGTTACGTTTTTACTTTTTCCGTCATGGTGTCCACGTAAAACCAAGCAACCGGCGTTTGTTTTGTCACATTTGTTACCCGGACATGTTGCCTTGCAACCAGGCCTGCCTTGGAAAAACATAGAAATAAACATGGCTCCCTGAATAACGCGTGTTTGCTGTGTGATACCTGTAGTTTCAAAGGAACCCTTTCGAAAAGTGGAGAAGGTGGATTCAGCGATTTGATTTGTATGTCGCCGCGTAGCAGATGACCAGAAAACCCGTTGCGACTAAGATCGCAATGTTGTTGTCATCAGTTGGACCCGAGGCCTTGGAGCGATACAACAACTTTGAATGCCAAGAAGGTGAAGACAAGGCAAAATATAACCACGTGAAGACAAAGTTGGACACCGAGTTAGAGGGTCAGAAACGAATTGTATTCTCCAACTATCTGTTCTGGGATCACTCGAAGACCTCGGGCCAAACATTCGACGAATTCCTATCTGAGTTTCTCTGTCTTGCGAATTTGCTGAACTAGATAACATGATCAGAGACAGAAAAGTGTTCTCCCCTGAAAATCCCGCGCTAAAAGAGCGGCTGTTACGCGAACCGAAGCTAGACCTACAGAAGGTCGTAGTTATGTCTCGATCCTCGGAGCCGGCATATAAGGAGTTCGTAAGCATGAAAGGCGCTGCGAAGAAGGAAGAGCAACAAGTACACGCGCTCAACACGAATCGGCCAAACACAAACCAGGCTTCAACAGGTGGCAAGCTACCTCGATCTCGGGGTCGTGGAGCACGAAACCGCAGTAGAAGAAAAAGTTGCCGAAGATGCGGTACCACGCATGCGCGAAACTAGTGCCCAGGTTGGGAAAAGTCCTGTTTAAAGTGTGGAGGTCTAAACCACTTCAGCATGAAATCGTTGATCAAGGCAGTAGTGAGGCTGAATGTTTTGTGGATTGCCTGTATGTTGAAAACATCACCAACAAAGACAGTTCTGTATGGTTTTCAGTTGTGAATGGTAATGGCAAAAAACTACGGATGATGCTGGATACTGGTGCCTCAACAAACGGGATATCTTGCAAGAGCCTCAGAAAGTTGCGTAATTCTCCCGCCCTGCGTTCATCCAATGTTTGTTTGAAAGTATATGGTGTCCACATAATCAACCATAAAGGCAAAGTCACCCTAACTTGCAAAGCCAACCAACATGACGACACGATCGACTTCTATGTTGCGATGACAATGGCACCTCCCATCTTAGGACTGCAAGCCTGTGAGAACCTGGGTTTGATTGAACAACGGATTGCCCTCCAGAGCAACCGAAACAAGAAAATCCTGCTGTAGATGCAGTTACTAGTACCTCCTATCACCTCACAAAGGAAGACTTTTTGGAAGAATTTCATGACGTGGTCACAGACATGGGCAAGTTTCATCGGTACCACAACACCATTGAAGAAGGCAATGAACCTTTCATACAACCTCCACGTCGAGTCCCACAGGGGTTGCAAGACCGTCTGAAAGAGGAACTGGACCAAATGGAACATGGCAGGATCATTACTAAGACTGACAAACCTATGGACTGGGTCAACAGCTTAGTAATTGTTGAAAAGAAGGATGGAAGCTTCCGTTCGTGTTTGGT